ACCAACACCAACGTCATGAGATGTGACGGGCGTGAGAGGCGCTCCTAGTCATGCGATGTGAGTAGGGTTTACGGCTAATTTTATGGTGTGAAACCATACATACTTGATTGTCGTGAGAAGCGACAGCCAACGTCACGAGATGTGATGGGCGTGAGAGACGCTCCTGGTCATGAGAAGTGACCAGGGTTTACGATTGACCCGATGGTGTGAAGCCATACGGGAATTGATACGATGATGTTTTAATATGATATGTATGCGTGTTGAATATTGAATATTATACCTTGTGTTTTATCGTTTTAATACCGTTCTCGCTGGGAACAGGTTTACCGGATCCAATCCGGGTTATTCACTAAGCAGTTGTGCTTAGCCCTCGTGGTTTCACCTTTTTCAGATCACGAGGAGCACGAGTAGCACGTTTGAGGCGACGAAGACTTCAAGAGACAGCGCCGTGTATGGGGCTTTGCTTTCGTTGAATAATTTGAGCGATGGAAAACGATTTCCATGTTTGTACGATTGTACCTTTTTAATTCGGACATGAGTATTTTAAGACTTAAATGTTATTTAATTTTCGCTGTTGAAGAAGAACACGGGTCGTGCAAGGTCTATGTTAAAAGTTCGCAAAAACGAACACGGCCGTGTTGAAGTAGAACACGGGCCGTGCAAATTCTCTGTCGAAAGTTTGCAAACGCGAACACGGCCGTGTTGAGTCAGAACACAGGCCGTGCAAATTTTCTGTCAAAAATTCGCAAAAACGAACACGGCCGTGTTGATAACATGATTTTCTCATCTATTTCAAAGTGCTAAAATGATCCGTATCCCCGGCAACGGCGCCAAAAACTTGATAACGCAAATCTAAGTATAGAAATAAGCTCAAGTGATAAAAACCTAGATACAACTAATACCGCAAGGATATGGATCAACTGTAGTACCAGGGTCGAATATAGGGAATAGTTTAACTCTAGGAACAAGACTCAACCAAGAATTAGATCAGGAAATATGGAATGAAGTATGGGAATATCGAAAATAAAACAATAAACTAACTAAAAAAAATCAGATGGATAAACCACCGTAGCTTCGGGATAACATTAATGCGCAGGGATTGTTTCTAAGGATGGAGAATCTACGAATATCGAACTTTAATCGGGGATCTCAAGTTCTAATATCAGATTTGGCTCTCTCAAGTCCTAAATCCACTATCCAATAATTTAACCTATCGATCTCTCAACCTAATAGATTAAAATATCAAATGCATTAACGATCACTATCACAGTTCCTAAACCGATTAACCTATCTCTCAATAGTCTTAATCAATTCATTCAATGAATTCGTTCCGAATCTAATCTCAACTCTCGTTATCAATCAGAATCTAAGATCAATCAATCAACAGGCCAAGAAGATCAAAAGCAATAAACTCAATTCAATCAAACCGAAGAGTATCGATAACGTAGTCTCGAAAAATAAAAACCAAACAAATCCCTACAAGGTTAAATCCCTAACTACAGTGAAACGACTACTCACTACCCATAACAACAAACGAGTTCAAACCAATAAGAAGAAACATAGAAACAGATAAAGAACACTCGCAGCGATCTCTCGACGACGATTCTTCAATCTCTGATCCCAACAATAAATAAGCTCAAGTAAATAAAAACCTAGATACAGCGAATACCGCAAGGATACGGATCAACTGTAGTACCAGGGTCGAACACAGGGAATAGTTAACTCTAGGAACAAGACTCGACCAAGAATTAGATCAGGAAATTGGCTGATGAAATATGTGAATAGCAAAAATAAATCTATAAACGAACTAAGTAAATTCAGATAACTAAACCACCGTAGCTTCGGGATAACCTTAATGCGCAGGGATGGAGAATCTACGAATATCGATCTCTAATCGGGGATCTCAAGTTCTAATATCAGATTTGGCTCTCTCAAGTCCTAAATCCACTATCCAATAATTTAACCTATCGATCTCTCAACCTAATAGATTAAAATATCAAATGCATTAACGATCACTATCACAGTTCCTAAACCGATTAACCTATCTCTCAATAGTCTTAATCAATTCATTCAATGAATTCGTTCCGAATCTAATCTCAACTCTCGTTATCAATCAGAATCTAAGATCAATCAATCAACTGGCCAAGAAGATCAAAAGCAATAAACTCAATTCAATCAAACCGACGAGTATTGATAATGTAGTCTCGGAAAATAAAAACCAAACAAATCCCTACAAGGTTAAATCCCTAGCTACAGTGAAACGACTACTCACTACCCATAATAACAAACGAGTTCAAATCAATAAGAAGAAACATAGAAACATATAAAGAAGACTCGCAGCGATCTCTCGACGACGATTCTTCAATCTCTGCTCCCGGGAAACTCCGTCTTGATTCTCTCTCGAGTTCTCTAACTTCTCCTGTGATCTCTCGATGATTTCTGAAGCCCAAGACGTCCTCTATTTATTTCTTTGGCGGCTAGGCTTCTTTCCATTCTGAAAACGGAAGTTCGGATGCAAAAATAGGAAGTTTTCTCGAAACGTAACACGACCGTGTTGAGTAGAACACGGCCCGTGTCAATTGTCTGATCAAAACTTATGCGCTTCTGCATGGGCTGGACACGGGCGAGTTGCGTCTTGACACGACCGTGTTTGACTCGACACGGTCCATGTCAATTGTCTGTAAGAATATCCTCGTTTCTTTGCCTTTGCACGGCCGTGTTTAAACTCGACACGGTCGTGTTCAAGTGCAACTCGAGCTGGAAATGCCTTAATCGTTTTGTTCCGGTCCAATATGCTCTGAAGTCCTCGATTATGTTCTTCTGACGTCCATAATGCGTCCATTACCTGTTCAATCACCAGAGAAAGCAGAAGAAGCAAAACCCAGTGCTAAAATGATCCTAAATATCTAACAATGCACAAAACCGATGCGAAAGTGCTACACAATGGGCTTTGAAATAGATGAGAAAATCATGTTATCAATCAACTGCAGGGGGCCAAGTGGTTCTCGAAGATTGACTTACGATCGGGATATCATCAGATCCGGGTCAAGCAGGAGGACATACAGAAAACGGCGTTTCGGACCCGATATGGACATTTCGAGTTCGTGGTCATGCCCTTTGGACTCACGAACGCACCTGCGGTCTTCATGCACTTGATGAACCATGTGTTTATGGAATATTTAGACGATTTTGTCATCATTTTCATCGATGACCTTCTCATCTATTCGCCGGACTAACAGACACACGAGGAGCATTTGAGGAATATTTTGTATAAACTGAAAGAGCACCGTCTGTATGCAAAGTTCAGCAAGTGCAGTTTCTGGTTACAGGAGATTGGTTTCTTGGGTCATGTGGTATCACCCCATGGAATCCAGGTGGACCCGGCAAAAATCGAGGCAATTATGGATTGGAAACCCCCAACTTTTGCTACGGAAGTTAGGAGCTTTCTCGGACTTGCAGGTTATTACAGAAGGTTTGTGGAGGGTTTTTCCAAGATAGCCCGGCCTATGACGAAATTGAAAGGAAAGAATATTAAGTTTGAGTGGACTGCAGAATGTGATGCTAGTTTTCGGGAATTGAAAGAGCGTTTGACCTCATCACCTATCCTAGCGTTACCACGACCTGGCATACTATACCAAGTTTACACCGATGCATCCAGGTAGGGACTCGATTGTGTGTTGATGCAGGAGGGACACGTGATCGCCTATGCATCGAGACAACTGAAGAGACATGAGGAAAACTATCCAACGCACGATATGGAGCTAACAGCGGTGGTTCATGCACTAAAAATTTGGAGGTCGTATCTGTATGGTGAGAAGGTTAAGCTCAACACGGATCACAAGAGCTTGACCTACGTGATATCACAGAAGGATCTAACCCTAAGACAACGACGATGGTTAGAGCTGATTGCAGACTATGACTTGGAGATAGCCTACCATCCTGGTAAGGCTAACGTGGTAGCAGATGCACTCAGTCGGAAACGGATCTTGGCTGCTATCCGTACACTGACTTCGTCTCGCAGCAATGCCGCAGAGTTGACTGCGATGTTGGGGCACTTGACGTTGGAGCGGGAGGAACCCACTCCGATGCTGGTAGAACGAGTAATCATGGGACAACCCAGTGATCCCTTACTATCGCGGTACCGAGATCGAATCAAGGAGTATAGTTCTAAGGGCTACCGCATTGACGAGAAAGGAGCACTGCACTTGGGAAACTGGCTATGTGTGCCAGAGGATATTGCGTTGAGACAGGAGATATTAGCTGAGGCACATCAGACGAGGCTAGCAATACATCCAGGGGCAAGTAAGATGTATCAGGGTCTACGCCGATGGTACACGTGGCCAAGGATTAAGAGAGACGTTGCCCATTATGTAGCCAGATGTCTCACTTGCCAACAGGTGAAAGCAGAACGACAGATGCCGGTAGGAAAATTACAGCCGTTGGAGATACCGCAATGGATGTGGGATTCGATCGCCATGGACTTTGTAGTCGGATTACCACTTACACCGATGAAGAAGAACGCTATTTGGGTAGACATGGATCGACTAACCAAATCTGCTCACTTCCTCCCTATACGCCGAGAGTATCCGATTGAGAGGTTGGCACGGATCTACATTGATGAGATTGTGAGACTACATGGGGTGCCGAGTGAGATCATCTCGGACCGAGATGCTCGGTTTACGTTATGCCTATGGAAGGCAATACAAGGCGCGGTGGGGACGAAGCTGAAGATGAGTACGGCATATCATCCTCAGACAGATGGACAGTCAGAACAGACGATACAGACTTTGGAGGATATGCTTCGCGCATGTTTATTAGAATGGGGAACCTCGTGGGATCAGTACATGACGTTGTGCGAGTTTGCGTAGAACAACAGTCACCATGCGAGTATTGGAGTACCACCGTATGAGGCATTATATGGGAGGTCGTGCAAGACACCCTTGTGTTGGATAGAGATTGGGGAGAGACGGGAATTCGGGCCTGAGATTGTGGAAGAGACTATGGAAGTGATTCGAAAAATTCGAGTCAACCTGAAAACAGCACAGGATCGACAAAAATCATATGCCGACCAGAGAAGACGGGACTTCACCCTTGAAGTTGGAGATCAAGCATTCCTTCGAGTTCAGGCCATGCGAGGACACGCTAGGTTTGGACAGGGCGGCAACCTGAAACCGCGATATATTGGACCATATCCTGTGATTGGGAAGGTAGGCGCTGTAGCATATCGACTCAGGTTGCCTTCAGAGCTAGGCAATATCAACGATGTATTCCATGTGTCGATGCTACAGAGATACGTAGCAAATCCTTCCCATGTGCTACAACCTCAGGAGTTAGAATTCACGAATGCTACACGTTTTCGAGACGAACCGCTACAGATAATGGACCGAAAGGTTAAGAAGCTGAGGACGAAGGAGGTGCCATTGGTGAAGGTATTGTGGAGAAGCCAAGGGGTCTCAGACATGACTTGGGAATTCGAAGAAGAGATGCGTAGCAACTATCTCTATCTTTTCACTTGATGTTGTACAACTCTTGTGTATGACGATGGTGTTGGTTGTAATGCTCTAGGATGATCCATGATATGACATTTTATTTTGTATTGATTCATTGATTTATGAATGCATTATTTTTCCGTTATACGATTAGCATGTTTGTTGTATTTCGGTATCCTTGAATCATTATAGAATGATTCTAAACACCCTGGTCAGTTATCATTGTGGGAACAATGATGAATTAAGACTAGCATGAGGTGTGATCGATGCATTGGATGCATATCACAATCATGGGTACTCGTTGTGAACGAGTGACTGGTTGACCCGCATGAGATTGTCACATGGACAGAGTCATGACTTGAATCTCATAAAGCGGTTCGTTCTTGGATCCTCAGACCTGAGATGTCTAGAGTATCTGATATGAGGAGTGGCGTGTCTTGACTGCGTCAAACGTCGTCTTTAACCGGATGATTATAACGGCGTTGATCAGATACGTTCACGAATCATATGGAGATAGTAGACATGCAATATGGGACTTGTCACCTCCTTAATAGGCGAGATATCGCTGTAAACGCGTGGTCACGCTATAGATGAAGTTGCATCTATTTTATTAGTCGATTTGCCAAGACGAGAAAGCAGTTGAACTTGAAGGGTGGCTCATACCATACCCTTGTTCAACATATGACATCGTGAGACAAATGATCAGAATTCGAGCTGTTAATGCCTTTGTTAGATCACCTCTAACTCAATTCTAAGTGGGTGATCATGGTGTCTTGCTAGAGGCTAACCATGACTTGTGGTTCGGGAAAGGTTTCTAAAGTCACTACCACTTAGAATGGCCTACAGGGTCACACACCAATAGGGATGGACTTATACGTGAAGAATCCGAAGAATGGAAACGAGATTTGACCGAAACGAGCATGAAAAGGAGTTTTCAGTGCGTTGGTCCGGCGCTGACCAAGTTTGGTCAGCCCCGGACCACGTTTGGTCAGTCCAGGAGGTCCGGAAGCTTGGTCCGCGGTCATCTGTCCAGGTCTGGTCCGGCTGACCAAGAGTTGGTCAGCCGCTGACCAGATAGTGGGTCAGACGGACCGAGAAAAGACGAGTCGGACTGAGCTGACCAAGAAGGGTCTTGGTCCGGAGCTGACCACGCGTGGTCCGCCGGACCAAGCCTTCAGGTCAGCCGGTCCGTGAGCCTCGGACTAAGCTTGGTCCGCCGGACCAAGCTCCTGGTCCGGCGGACCGGGATCCGGAAAGTTTCCATAATTCGATTTTAGGGTTTTCTAAGCTTATTTAAGTTTGAGATTTCGTCCAAACTTAATTAAGGGCCGACCTAAAACTCAGAGAAACATCCTAGAACCCTAGAGAACCTGTTCTCTTCGATTTCTATTGTCCCGGGATTGGATCTCGTCTCTTGAGTTACCCTTTTCTTCACTAATCCTAGCAGATTCGTTCCAAATCGTTTGGAATCCTTCCCGTCGGTGTGGATACCTGTAGAGGGACTGTAACTTCAGTCCTAGGTGATTTAAAACAGGCCCCAGATCGAAATAAACTTCAAGTCTCATCGAGAATGAGGTAACGATTCCCTCGGTGATATACACGATCTTTCGGGTTTTGCGAGTTTGGTTGCGTGTGACGTTTGACTAGGTTTAGATCTTTCTTCCGCTGCATGAAACCTAGTAAACCAAACCCTAGATCGATATGATCGAATGCTAGGAACTCGTAGATAACTCAAAAGTGGTATTAGAGCCTGGTTCTCTGTATATCGCCATGCTTGTTGTATGATTGCATGATTTAATCATTAAATTGCATGTAATCATTGAATCTATGCATGTTTAATGATATTTGTGATTGTTGAATGATGCATGGATGGTATGGAGTCTGGGACGGGTTAACGGTGCGTCGAAACCGGGACAAAACCCTGATTTTCGAAGTCCGAAAAATTTGTTCCGAATCTGATTTGTCCGCGGTCAGCCGGACCAAGAGTGGGTCAGCCGGACCAGCAGACAGATCAGATTCCGGACCGAGTGTTTGGTCAGGAGGACCAAAGTTCTCGCTGGTCAGCCCCGGACCAAGAGTTGGTCCGGCGGACCAGGCGAGAACAACATAGGTCAGAGACGAAGACCGGTGGATTGACCAAGGAAACGGACTGAGTTGGTCCGGAGCTGACCAAGTTTGGTCAGCCCCGGACCAAGCTCAGTTTTCGAACTGAGTCCGATTCC